GATCTCTGAGCTAATATGCGTGACGACGCATTGTGTGCTTATTGTTGTTTATGCTGTATAGTTTATGAGATGTATGCTGATGATGTGCTGATAACTGTAGTTGTTCATATTTTCTTATATATGATTTGTATGCTGATTCTTTTCACTAACTTACCCTTTGTTGTTTCCATGTGTTTGGACTGCGATGATCATACGTTGTATGGGAGCAGAGCAGGGTTAGGTTGGTGATTGTGGCAGGTCTGCAGCTGGCAGATAGAGTTGACTTTTCTTTTGTTGTTTGACGTTTTGGGCCACTATTTTGGCTACTTTGGCCTGTACTTATACTCTGATGTCTAGCTCAGATTGGACCTTGTGTATATATTTATATACTTGTTCTTATCTGTGTGTATGTCGTGATGTTGAGTAGTGTGTAGTGACCAGCCGGGTCGTTACACTTTTGACTACCTAGTTGTTGTATAGGGTATTATATATTTCCCTACTTTGAGTTATATATATTATGAGACTTTTAGTTGTGTATTCTCATTATATATATAATTGTTTAGTAGTGAGATTTTATTTTTATACTTGTATTTGGACGCTATAGACAGTGTGAGACCTGGCGGGTCGTTACAACTTACGAATTTATTTTTGCAAAAAAGTCTGCAAGAAACAAAATAAAATTCTTACAATATTTTTGCAAATTTTTACCATGGAAAAAAAATTTCTATGATCATTAAAATTGTAGCAAAATTTGCAAAAATTTCTTGCAAATTATTTTTCATAAAAAAATTTGTAAGAAATATCTGTAAATCATTTTTCGCAAATAAATTCGTAAAAAAATTTTGTGAAATTATTATTGCAAGAAAATTCGCAAAAAATTTGTATACTCAACCATACAAATCAACTTGTAAGATAATTGTTATCCCAATTTATATATCTTTAATTGTTTCATTTTCAATCAATGTGGGACTTGAATTTTTTTTTTTAAATATTAAACTTAAAAATTTAAATATTTTTTTATTTTTCCTGCAGATTAAAATTGGTAGGAAAATCCGCAGGAAAAGTTACCTGCAAAATTTTTCTACTATTTAGTAAACATTACTTACGAATTTATTTTTGCAAGAAAATCTGCAAGAAACAAAATAAAATTCTTACAATATTTTTGCAAACTTTTACCATGAATTTTTTTTTTATGATCATTAAAATTGTAGCAAAATTTGCAAAAATTTCTTGCAGATTATTTTTTATAAAAAAATTTGTAAGAAATATCTGTAAATTATTTTTTGTAAATAAATTCGTAAAAAAAATTTGTGAAATTATTATTACAAAAAAATTCGCAAAAAATTTTTACGAATATTTTTTGTAAGAAAATTCGCAAGAAAACAACACTTTTCTAGTAGTGTCATAAATTATATAATAAAAATTAAATATTTTTTGAGATCTAAGACCAAGACCTAATTGACCTTGCACTCGACAAGGTCTTGACCATAACATACAGTCTCAAAAATACAAATAATTTTAAAATTATCTCATTTAAATAATTAATTTACAAAAATTACTCTACAACAGTCAAAAAGCTATTAAACATATATCGAAGTTAACTGGTATATACCTGCTGCTGCTATCGTTGTGTCGTGTGTTCTTTCTATACATTCTCTTTCATCAAAACATGTTCGATTCAATACACAGCTTCTTTTACAAATAACTTGTTTTTTTCTAAAAGAAAAATTAACTGAAATGAGAGATTATACTCTTTCAAACACATTCTTAGAAATAACTATGGAAGTGTTGGATAATTAGTGTATAAACAATTATACAGTAATTTTTATGCATAATAACTAAACAGGTGAACAAAAGACTGAAAAATATATGACATATATAAAATGAAGAGAAATAAATTTTAAAAAAAATGAACAAAATTTAGTAGGAATTAGAAAGGGGGGCACATCGTCTGCTATACCATTTAATTTAGAAATAATTAAATGCCTGAAATTATGAACTGGATGAATTAATTTGGCACCTCAAAAGTAAGTGAAAATTTATAGAAGTTTCTTTTAGCTAGTCAACATTATGATGACACCAATTATTCAATTGGACTCAATATATATTATTTGAATCTTTCATCATTAGTTTCTCTAGTAGTTCAAATAGATCTATTTTATTAAATAATTTGTTAAGAAAAACCACATTAATTCATCACCCAATATATTTAATCTAGTTTTTTTAATATAGTAACTTTGAAAACAAACTACACTACTTTGCATTAAAAAAAATGAAGCTAATTCGGCTAAGTGTAAGTAAGAAATTAGTACGACATATTAAAAATATATTTTTAATTAATAAACATGAATGAATTATTGGTGTTCAAATTTCAATCTACATATCTCTCTAGCTTGTTGGAACCAAATCACGAATAGAAAATTCTAAGAATGTAACTCACTTTGGTTCAATAACTTATTTAAAATATTCAAATGATGAGAATTATTTTTGTTTGCCGCTTTCATACATCAAGGAATAATAATTGATTTATAATTATTAAACTCAGGAATCAAACTACGAGAAAATAATTTAGATATGCATTATAAACTTTCTCGTATATTTATAAATTAATATATAAAATAAACTTGTTGATTGATATAATAATTATTTTAAAAACCATTCTTTTTACAAGTTGTATTTGGTTTGATGTATTTTTTGTTACAGAGTGTTAGTATACCGAAAAAATTCTTAAAAGTTAACTGACGATCGATAATAATAATAATAATAATACAGTTTTTTTTTTTACGATGTTGGTTTTCTATAATATCAAGAACAAAATTGACTGGTAATGATGATTTTAAGTTTTGAAATAATACTTTTTTTATACAAACAAATTATTACCTCCCGTGCATTTTTGGAGCATAGTCGCTTCCAAAAATCAAAAGAAAAAAAATAATAACATCAGATTCAAGTGGTGAAAATGATGTGAATATCTAGCCAAAATTATATTTTCATGCATTTTGTTTGAATATTTCATTTGAATATATATATATTAATCGTAAATCAAATCATCGTGAATCTTAAAATTCATATCAATAAAAACAGTATATATATTCATATCAATAAAAACATAGTGTATATATATATATATATATATAGAGGAAGGTTCAAACGACATCGGTGTAACAAAATTTGATATATATGATCTAAGATATATGAACTTTCAATCTAACGGTTGGATTTTCAAAATTCACATTTAATATAAAGTTATTAAGCGGTGTAACACTTAGTAAAAGTTACACCGGTGTCGTTTGAACCCTCCTCATATATATATATGATTGAAAGAAGATTTGAAACTAATTCTAATAACTGTATTAAAATAATTATGATTTAAAGTTTATATATACATATACAAATAATAATAAATATATCACTTTTAATATAATTATACTATCTTAATAAATGCAATAAGATTAATGTGATTTATGTGAGATAAATTAAGAAAAAAATAAGCTTAATTATATTTTGAGTCTTCTAAATTTCAGATATATATTATCTTGATTTCCAAAATTTAAAATTTCTATTTTTTGATCTCAAAATAAAAAATTATTATTTTTATTTCTCAAATTTAAAATTTAACTTTTAATTCCTATATAACTTCAACAAACATTGTTTATCACTAATATCATAATTGATTGATAGTGATAAATTGAGAGAAACTAAAATAATTTTTTTTTTGATATTTTGATACTTAAAAATATATTTAAATATAAAAGTCACATAAAAGTTAAAAACATTAGTTACTTTATAATTTTTTTAGATATTAAAACTATAGTCATTTTGAGAAAAGTAATTAATTTTATGATATATAATACTATACCATAAAATTTTTATATAATTGTGTTTGTATATATGTAGAGAAATGAAAGATCCATTTACTTTATTAGGAATATGTCTACCTAAACTTATTCTATTCAGTAATTTATTTTCTACATTAAATTTCAACGATCAAATCATTAAATTTAAAGTTTTTAATGCATAGACCAAATCTGCAAATTTTTAAAAATTTTGAAAATTGTTTAGTATTTCGTTTTATTAATTCAAATTAATGTATAAAATAATTTTATGATTATCTGTCAATTTAAAAAATTAATTGATACTTTGTCTCATTAATTCAAATTGACAAATAATCATAAAATTATTTTATACATTAATTAGAATTAATAAAATGAAATATCAAACAATTTTTAAATTTTAAAAAAATTTATAAATTTGATTTATACATTAAAAATTTTAAATTCAACAGTTAGATCATTGAAATTTGATGAGTAAGATCAAGATTATGACAAACACAATATATATATTTTTTTATATATATATATATATATAATGTTAACGGTAGGTGTGCATGTGGTTATAAAAATATGTGGATCCAATTCACCCATTCCTGATTGTGTCTCATTAATCTTTGTCTACATTGGACACGTTGTGTCAAAGGTATAAATGTGTGTAGTTTTCCACCGTTCTTCAAATGCCCTTCATAGACTATATAATTAATTTTACGGTATACAATAATTCGAACCTCTTGCAATCTCTTACACCGCTAATAACGTATTGACATATAATATAATTACGTATTGTCTTGGTTAGTATTTATTTTGATAAACCAAAGTTTTCTTTATTTATCGGTTGAAAAGACTAATTTTTCAATTTATTGAGATTCACTTAATAAATGTTTTTTTAATGCACCAATAAGAGATCAAACTCTTCCACACATGTTAAGAGATAAAATTATCTAGGATTTATGTTACATCTATTAAGTTGGATGTAATAATTAAAATAAAATATGAAGTCCATTTAAAGGGTCGACTTTTTTGAATAAATATTTTTTCAATTAGAAATCAAACTCTTAAATCATATATTTAATAAATAAATTATTTATCAATCATGTCATATTTTATCACGTTTTGCTGTTCCATATGCAATAATTGAATCAGATTACATGATTTTCCGTGCATATATATTTGATCAACATGATGACATTTGTGTGCCTATTGTTGTTGTTTCCCCATTTTTCATTTTGCTTTTGCAAGCTAAGATGGGGTGGTTACAGTCCAATTTGCCACTGATGGCTATGTTAATGAATCAGTTCATTTATGCAGGTATTAGTCTCAGCTCAAGACTTGCTTTCTTACATGGAATGAAACCCTCAGTATATGTTGTGTACCGTCATGTTTTTGCAACCATTGTCATTGCCCCCATAGCTTATTTCTCAGGGTAATTTCCTCATTATTATCTCTTTCTCTCTCTTTGTTTTCCAATTCAATTCTCTCCCATGTTGTTTATTTGTACTAATTGTTAATCTCCTTCCTTTTACAGAAGAAATTCTGGCTCCTATCACTTGAATTTAAAGAGTTTTTCCTGGATTTTCTTCATCTCCCTAATTGGGTATGTTCGATCGTTTCAAATTTTATTTAATAATTTTTTTTTATGAATGACTAATTAGTGAAATGGTATTGTTTTAGATTATAATAAAATGGGTATTAAGGATATGAGATTAATTAGTGTTTGGTGTTTGTTACTTGGAATATGTTGCAGCATTACGGTGAATCAAAATTTATTTTTTGAGGGGATATATCTGTCTTCTTCTTCAACAGCAAGTGCAATGGCGAATCTTGTTCCAGCCTTCACATTTGTAATAGCAGCTTGCACAGGGTAATTAATTAATAATTAATCATTGGATCCAAGTGTTGAGGCTTAGAAGAATGTACATAAATAAATGCATGGAAATTAACACGTGAAATTGATTAGATTGGAGAGTGTGAATATTAGAAGCATGAGATCTATAGCGAAGATATTAGGGACAGTGGTGTGTGTAAGTGGAGCACTGTCAATAGCTTTGTTGAAGGGCCAAACGCTTCTAAATGTGGGCATTGGAGGAGACAACTGGTTGATGGGTTGTCTTTCTCTCTTTGGATCATGCACTGCTTGGTCACTTTGGCTCATTTTGCAGGTACTTTAATTACCCTTTTGCATAATAAAAAAAAAATTATATATATATATGAGATCGGTTTATTTTAAGAGTTATTCCGTTTAATAATTAATATTTTATATTAAATTTTAACGATTTAACTGTTGAATTTAAAGTTCTTAATACATATATTAAATCTGCAAGTTTAAAAAAAATTTAAAAATTATTTGATCTTTCATTTTATTAATTCAAATTGACGGATAATCAAAAAATCATTTTATACATTGATTTGAATTAATGAAACAAAGTATTAAATGATTTTTGAAATTTTTAAAAAATTACAGATTTAATTTATGCATTAAAAATATTAAATTTAACAATTGAATCGTTAAAACTTGATATAGAATATGAGTTATTGAACGGAATAAATCTAGATAGACTAATTATTCTTGGAGTAAACAAATCTCTCTATATATATGGAGGTGGCAACGGTCAATTAAGTATATTTATATTTTGGTTACAATTAAATATATATTTAATATATATATATATATATATATTATAATATA